AGGAAAACTGACCTGTCTTGCTCCGCATCACTCCTTACTCTTCTCGAAACCTACGTGTGAAACAATCACACGCTAAGTCGAAGACTTAGTGAGGCATAACAACTTATAATGCACTTTAAAACCTATATTGATACATGCATGTTTTGTTCTATCATGTTACAGCAAGTTCATGCATTTTTCATATCGTATAAAAATCATATCAGCTTAATTGCAGTAAATACATACATACACATAATTCATCATTAACGGTTTATCATATAATCACATACTATTTCAATCAAACACTATACACACACAACATCATATCATTTCCATAGCATTTATCATACCACTAACTTATATTTGTTCATATCTCTGGATTAGCCCATGTACATATGTGAGAACTATCGATATGTGAGTCTATAGAGGTTGTGCACTATGCTGTCACCACAGCTCGTATAAATGCACCGAAGTGCCCGTAGAATTGCACCGTAGTGCCCGTAGAATTGCACCGTAGTGCCCGTAGAATGATGTCCATAAGGACCACGTAGAATTCCTTAAGAATCATATACATATACTATGGATCAAGTATGTGTCTTTCAAGACTTCACACAGGTTCCAAAGGATATACATATGTCCTAAAGAACCGAATAAACCCTCGACTCTTGGCATGCCAACTATACCCCTAGCTCTCATGACACATAACATGGGCGTTATCATTTATTTCATTTCAAATATACACATAAACTTGTAATTCACTTTCACATATCACGTATCACATAGCTTCTTTTCATATGATCACATAGTCACGTAGTTCACTTACCCGTAGATCATTTCCATATAATTCACATGTCACATATGTCATGTTTTCATATAATTTCTATCATTTCTCACCCAATCACCTTTATTCATATAAACATACTTATCATATCTTGTTCACATAAGATCATATACTTCATATAATATATTGAAACACCTAGAACACTTTCCCGTAGCTTATAGTCATAAGTTTTGTCTCGTAACATATACTTGTTTTCACATATATATATTTCCTATCAATTCTTATACCATCACATAATTCCTTTAACATACATAACATATCATGTAACATTATAATAGAAATACTTATAAGTCATATCACTTAAAGCACATATATTTATAGTCACATTGCTTATATCTTAATCGTATGCCTTCTCTTAAACATATATATTCACATGTTCAGGTAATTCACCATTTCATCACATAATTGGGTATTCATATAACTCATTTCATTTCATTTCATATCTATCTATATATATATCCTCAAGATTATCCTAATATAAATCATATAGCACTCTTATATTTCGTATTCATCTAGGGCAGACTTATAAACATATTTCACTTCTATTATTTCTATATATAATCTAATCTGTACTTAATTCAATTTCATATAGCTCTTATAATCTTCTCCTATAACTTCACAAATTTCCATCATTCAACCCATGTGTTATAGTTTTATTTAAACCTATGAATCTTTCCCATCTAGCTTATCTTATACGTTCATCTTATCATTTATGTTCAAATCCCCTAGTTGGTGTACTATTTTCACTTCCTCCTATAGATCAATATTATCCATTTTATTTCACTTATCATATAAAAATATAATTATATTTTACTATGATCACATAGTTTATATCTCATACTTTGCTTTCTCATATTCACCTATATCATGTCATATGGCTCATATCTTTCTCATGCAGTCACATAGTTCAGTTTCACATATGTATATATATATACATTATATAGCACATACTTCTCATAACATTACATTCAAAAGCATGTCAACACATATATTCATGCATACATACAATTCATGTCATTCATATACGTATAATCATATATTCATGCATTCTAACATAGGAAATAGACTTGTCACAAGTCTTGTTTCCATTTAGCACCATAAACTAACTAATATGCACTCACCTGGCCTCACTAGCCAATTCCAATCTCTTATCTTTCCCTTGATCGATCTTACTTGCCAAACGTTCCGGAATTGCTTTATGCGTAGAATCTACATAAACGTACATTTCGAGACCATCATTAGATACCTACACCTTGTAATTGGATACTAGCAACTTAAACTAACTAATTAAACCCATATTCTCAATTTTCCTTTAGGGGGAATCGGTTCCCCCCCATGGGGGTATCGGTTCCCCAATGACATACTGGAAATTCTTGTTCGTTTGAAGGGGTATCGGTTCCCCTTGAATGGGTACCGATTCCCCTTGCCCAGAAATCATATTTTGAGCTCGAAAATCCTTCATTTTCAGTTCAACACATCATACTTCATTCCCTTTAATATTCTTAACTTTCATACACATACTTAAACTCATTTCTACTCCATAATCACTTCTTTAAACTCAAAATTCTATCTTCCATATAAGATTCAAAAATCATACCAAATTTTCAATGTGTTCTAATTCCAATTCTAACACTTCCTACTTCTTAATTAGATTGATGACAAGTCAAATTCATCCATAAAACCTCAACAACCATACCATATCAAAATTTCATCTTAAAACTCATATTGAAATTTCCTTCATAATTCCTTTATCTTATTGTTTAAATCCCATACAAGCTTTCCTTAAGCTTATTTAATACCCAAAGAATCAAAACTAAGCTTAAAACTTAAGAATTATCCAACTGAAATTAACTTACCTTTTGCAGCTAGCCCCACGTGAAGAAGAGAAAGCAAGAAGAAGAAAGCTTCCAGATAGCTCTCTTCCCACGTTTTTCACTCTTATAAAAGGGGGAAGAATATCTTTTAAAGGAAAAGACCATAATACCCTTAATCTCCTTCAATAATTACCAAATAACCTTCCCTATATAAATTCAAATAATTATTGAATTATTTCATTCTTCTACTTTAGTCACCAAATTCTAAAACTTTACGATTTGATCACTAACCCGGTATTGAGGATGTTACATGTTGACCATGTTAAACTAAAAATCATTATTCATTGTTTACCTTCACTATTCAATGATGAATGCCCCCAAACACCTCATCAAATATAAAATTTCTTAAGAGGCGTTTGGTTCACATAATATAAGTTTGTCTTTGGGAATAAGATTACTGGAATGCAATATTACTCTAAAATATTGTATTATCTTATTTAGTTTGTTTAGCAAGAATGTAAGATTATAGTGTTTTGTTGGAAGAATATAAGATTGCTTGGATGCATATTTTACCAAAGTATCCATGTGATATATGTTTTTTTCAACAAGTTATACTTTAATATTAAATTATAAATATTTGACATAGAAATATTTTAATTGTTACACTATCTAACTTTTGAGAAAAAATAAATTTAGCATATAATTAGCATATCAAACTTATATTTTAAATAACTTTCATAAATATCATATTTATTTATATAAGATATAATATGATATGAAAAAAAATATTATTATGGTCTCGAAGTGAAAAAAGATATTGTTTTTCAATGTATAAAATCAATCTTTTTAATAACTCAAATTTAGATATTATTTTAAATAATTACATAATTTACAATAATATCATGTTCACTTGTAAAATTATAAATGATTAATATATTAAATATTAAAAGTATAAATAATTTTAACTACTCAAAATCATTAATATTATACTAAATCAAACTTTTTGTATATTATTATTATTATTATTATTATTATGTTTTTGTTCACGAAGAATATAATTGAGAAAGATTCATGGGAAAAAATTCATTATTCTATGAACATTTTTATCCAAAGTATAATACTTAAGAATTTGGAGGTAATGATATTTCACTATTTTAACCTAAAATTGCTAATATTATTAATAAATTATTACCTGAAAGTAATATTTTTCGTGAACTTAACATAAAAATATAATTCTAAAAAATCAATTAAATAATGATATTTTTTTCGAATCATACATTACTAAGTACATCCCACTTTTAATAAACCCCACAATTTGTTGTTTATATTTGCCCTTGTGTTTCATAACTCGTTCTTGAACTCTTTCCTTACCTGACGTGGAATGCGATGGATGTTAAAACTTAAAAAGGTTTGTCATTCTTTGGATAAATTAAGAAAGGAAAACAAACAAGACAGGAGGGGCCAATGGAACAAATAATAACAAGGCATGAAGATGCATCTGAACAATTGAAGATCTTACCATGTGGTCCTACCGCCACCCTATATTTAAGCAACATAGTCCAACTATGTCTCAAATTTCAAAATAAAAAAATGAATTAAAGAAATCAAAACATTTAGATGTAGGCATCATTTCCCAAGCTCCACACTAAACAACAAACTCAATAATTATAAAAATATTTAACAAAATTGTTGAAGAGACAGGTCAGATTAGATGTAATCTTAAAGCTGCAAAGCGAGTATCATTACACAAAAAGACTCCAAGAAAACAAAAACATCATGATTTCCATTCCCACCATAACCATGGTGAGGGTTATAAATCAATAAATGGCCTTCGATAATTGTTATTTTTTCAATGGCACCCTTATAATCGTATGTTAAATGACACTTGGTTCACCAAAATAATAAAATAGTCCTGTATTGGGATTCAATACACCTACTCCTTAAAATTCGTTAAAAAATTTTGGATTTAGTTGGTAACTAATGTCCATTGATGAAGTTTATACCCGTGATTATTATCTTACCGATGTTTTACAATAGAGTATTGTTTTTAATATGATTTGATTTTTAATTAAACAAGGATATTATTTTATTTGTCACGTATGATAAACTTTCGTCTCTTTCCTAATAAGAAAAACAAAGAAGTGAGTCGGTCTCATAGACCACACTGTGTCAAGTCATGAATTCATGAACAGGAAAAAACAGAGATTCCATATCTTTCAGATCAGGTCGATAAAACAAAAACCAAAAGGACCCCTTTCATTTCAATCTGATCTAGATACTTTTCATCATCTTTTTACATCTAAATTACAATCTTCTGTTGCTCGGAGAGACCAGAAAATGTAAATATTAAGATAAAATCTAAAAAGTTAAAAATGTTTTTCAACTTCTGCTGTTACATTGACGCCCTTTGCTGTTGCTTCCTCCATTTGCAGCCTTCTGCCGGGAAGATGAAAACAATCCGAAAACCAAACCTGATTTTGAAGATCCTCTTAATGAACAAACGGGGACATTAAGTACTGGGGTGATCCTTACATTAGCTGAATATGACCTTTCTATTCCTCTTTGTTTAAACTGGGGACCACCATTGAAACTACTTGGACTGCTTGAGCTTCTTTCTAGGCTTTCAAACACGATTTTCCCCGACGAGTTCATTCTCGGACTATCCACTGAAAAATTTCCCCGGTTTGTCGATGGGTCCCTCCGGATCCGACTCCGTCCGGTTCTCGGTGGGTTTGGGTTCGGGTTTATACTTCTACAGGGAGCGAAAGGGTTGGGGCTGGGCTTATCGGAATCAAGTGATAACCTTGGAAGATCCTCGTGTTCATGGACTGAGGAGGAAGATGATGAAAGGGATAACCTTGATGAAGATATGGAAATCGCCTCGGAATCTGAGTCTTTCAACAGTGGGAGATTCAACGAAGGTAAATATTTTGTGGTTCTATTGAGTAAATGCTTGAGAGATTTGGGGCTTCGAGACTCTGGCATTGGGTGTTGTTGTTGATTAGTGTTTTGGGAGGATTTTTTTAGACCAAGAAGCTCCCTCCATCCGCTGGAACACCTCGGAGCTCTAGGAGAAAACAGGTAAGGATCCATTTCTGGACAAGATTTGGCTGTTTCGAGGAACCTAGTATCAGACAATGGAGGTTGTTGTTGTTGTTGTTTGAGTGATGAGAAATGTAAAGGTAGTAACTTGCCATTGGAAAAAAGCTCATCAGCTGGAAGCATGGTGACCGGATCTTCAAGCCTGAACTCAAACTCACCAGTCTCTGGTTCAACAAGATTTGTAGGCTTAGATCGACCAGTCTTGGGTCTAGACTTGGTTGGCTCATCTTCTCGGCTCAAGGACATCCGACGACTCAACCAACCATATGGTCGGAAACTCTCCGGCGAGACACCCATGTTATTAACACAAGCTGAAGCCATGTTGGTTCATAAGATTTGAATTCTAAAGCAAGGGGTATTGGCTTGCAACACAGCTTTGGTTTTGTTTCTAATTTTTGGTTTGTTTTTGGACTTTGGTTTTGGTTTGGCCTTGTTAGGGTTTCTGTGTAGTAAAAAGGATCCTGTTAAAATGAGGGGAAGAAAAGTGCATAAATTTGGTTGGGGGAAATGTATTAATATATCGAGTAAAAAGTTGAAGCTTTTGCCTTTTGGAGGGCGGGCTCAACTTTTATTTTATTTTTTTACCTTTTGTTTGTTTGATTCCCTTTCTTTTGAGTGTATATGGGAAATGTTTAGACTTGGTTTTGGTTTTTGGTGACATGATGTTCCGTTTATTGATATTTAGGCTTTTTATGTCGGTAACTTCATGCTTACTTATCATTATGCTTTCTCATCCCATTTTAATATATTTATATGATTTAGGCTTAATACAAATAACTGATTAAATTTTGTATCGAAAAATATTTTAATGTTTTAAAAAAATTATTAAAAATAGGTGTATAATATTTTCATCAGAGATTTTTAGGTGTCTGGACTGTAACGATCGTTAAATTTAACCGTTAAATGACACGTGTCATGTTTCAATAATTTTAAAAAAAATAAAAATAAATAAAAATAACGGTCCGTGTCCCCCTCTCCTTCTCCTTCTTTTCCCCTTCCCATTTCTCCTTTCCATGGTCGTCGGCTGACGATTTGTTACTGTTATCACCACCTCATCAGCACTGATGTTGACCTCCGATTAAACCCACGTTTGTATTTCGTCGTAAAGTGTCTCCGTTTGTCATAGAGAAGCGTTTAAAAATTCGTCGAATTTTAAGCTATCGTCACTGTTTTTCGTCGATTCCGATCGATCCCAACATCCATAAGCCACACTTCCACCATCATTCGAACAACTATGCAATTCCGATCAAAACCAAGTGTTCGGTGACGATGGTGTCCGGAAATGGCTGGCAACAGTTGGCAACAAGGGTTAAAATGAGATATTTTAATTTTTTAGAGTTTTTTATAATTTCATTAAAAGTTTGGGTTTTTATAATTAAATTATTTTTAAAGTTTTTTTAAATATGTTTATTATTAAAAAAAATTAAAAATATGACGGTAAGAATGTAAAAGTGTAAATGAGAAAATGTTAGACACTTATTTTTAACAAAAATTTATTTAAACACCAAAATATTTTTCGAGGCATTGTTCATGCACTTATTTTTGTATTAATTTTACATTAAGCCTATTATTTAAGTGTATTAAAATACACATATATCTTAAAACCCGTAAATGTTTAACTATTTTTAAAAGAAAAAAAATTTTCTTTTAATATTAATCATTTAATGAATTTCAAATTATAAATAATCTAAATATTGTATTATAAGATCATTATTCTCTTTTTAAGTATGTTTAATAATTTAATATTTTTTTCTTTCCATGAGATTAGTGTATTCTAACTTTATACTCATTTTGTTTTCCTTTGTAGAAAGCGTGGTGTCTTCTACTGATATGAGATTAATTTATTATCTTATTTCATAATTTTTTTCTTCTTTTTGGAGCGTTTAATGTTATATTTTATCGTTTACTATTGTGATATTTTTATTACATGCATGCATCCATCAATGTTGGCATGAAATTAGATAATTAAAAAACTATTCTAATACTATTTATTATGAGATCAATATCTCTGATAAGATGTGCATTATTGCTGTTACTTTTGAGTTTAAAATTTCTTATCTCATTTTTTCATGTGAGATTAATGCAATATGTATGAATATGTCATGCAACCAACATCAAAGGAAAGGAAAATACAAGGAAAACAAAGGTTAATAAAATGTATTCTATAATAGGGTATTAACTAAACTAAGCCTTCAACCTTGGAAGCAACGGCTAAGCCATTGAGAATTGCACCTTTAACCTTGGTTTCTGCATCGATTTTCAATGTTTTGGCACCACTCCCCTGCACATCCTTACAGGCTTGCATTTCAAGTGCCAAATGATTTGGGCACTAATAGTTTCATGATCCTACGATCCCTCTCCATGTTGATTCCCACCCATAATATGGCATATCTTCACGACGGACTTAAAATTTTAGAAATGAAGGTACTCATAAAATTTCAAAATGATGAAAAAAGATTTTTAATAGAAAATACGTAAAAAAATTCTAAAATATATATTAATTTTAAATTTTCAGGAACGACTGCTCTCACTCATCCCGGTCCACCCCTAGATACCTTCCCATAATAAGGAGAGTCTCTAATTAAAAAATATTTGATTTTAGTTGTCAAAGTGGAGGTGTTTCAATATAGGATAAATTACGAATTTAGTACATAAACTATCAGTTTTGATCAATTTTAATACTTAAACTTTTATTTTTTTCAAAATCACACCTAACATTTAGTTTCTGTTTCATTTTAGTACCCCGTCGTTATAAACTTAATGGACGATCTCGTCGGCCGTCGCATCTGTCGGTCGATAAAGTCCAAACTGCACTTTTTGACCCATTGAACGTGATTTCGACCTCTGTTTCATCTAAAAATGCCTCAATCTCCCCAATCGACGATGGTCTCTTTGATTACTTCATCCTCAAACCTCTATGGTCCACCGTCCGATGGGCTTGAAACTAAACTACGTTGGTCGACTCGTTATTCTCTTGTGGTTCACCGTTCGAATTGGTAGTCCATCCACCAAAGCTATACCACGTCAGTCCGCTCGTTAAGTTTTGAATGACAATGTACTAAAATGAAATAAAAACTAAACGCTAGGTATGATTTTGAGAGAAAAATAAAAGTTTAGGTACTAAAACAGACCAAAACTGATAGTTTAGATATTAAATGCGTAGTTCAACCTTAATTATAATATATCTTACAAAAGAATAGTAAATAAATAAAAAAGAATTATTAATAAATTATTAAAAAGAAAATTAAGAAGTCAATTTAAAGTCGAGAGATAATTTTCTTTCATTGGATTTTATTCCTTAACTACTATGCGTGGATATATGACGATGGTTATCAAAAACCAAGACTTTTGAGAGTGGAATGGAAAATCAAATCGTACACATGAAAATTTTAATTGCTGGTCAAATCACATGCAATTCACTCACATGAAACACATTATCGTGTATATATATAGAGAGAGGTTGGTAATTTACATCCTACATTATTAGATTAAAAAAATATAAAATTTTAATTTAATTATATCATTAAATATTTATAAATTAATTCATTTGTAATATTAATATCATTGATATTGAAACTTTATAAATGTTTTTGGGTAAAGTATATAAATGTTCATTCGATTATAGAACATTGATTTGTTGAGTCTTCCAACTATTCAAAGTTACAAGATAGTCTCATGATTATAAGACACTATTTTGTTGAGTCACTGACTTATTAAAAGTTACAAAATGGTCATTCGACTGTTTATATGTTCCAATCAATAGGTTAACGTACAACTAAAATAATCATCAAAATTTTAATGGAAAATAATGAGTTTGAAATAATTGAATAGTCATGTGATCATCTTGTAACTTTCAATAGTCAAATGAATCGACAAAGCAATGCCATAAGGAGAACACTTTGTAATTTTAATAGTCGAAAGACTTAATAAAGTAAAGTCCTATAGTCGGAGATCATTTGTTGTACTTTACCATAATTTTTATTAGATTTGATAGAAAACTTATTTATTTATCTTTTAAATTTATTTAAATGAAAAGTTTGAAAAAATATAGTAAAAATATTATTTAAATTAATAGTTAAAACTATTTAACGATGTTATGTGAAAACTATGTTAAATAAAAAAATTAATTTTTTCTTTAAAATTACTTAATACAAATACTTTATTTTATAAATAATAAAAGTGCTATTAAATTAGACTTTACATAGGAAGATTACCCTTAGGCCCGTTTGGTTCACGTAATATTCTATTATCGGGGGAATGGAATCCACATTCCTCTGTTTGGTTGGTCGGTAATCTTATTCCTGGTAATCTTTTATTACCAACAGTGATTTTTTTTGGTATATTACCGAGAATGTGATTACCTCCCTTCCCTTAGGTATTATTGGATTACCGACGTTTTGGACTAAAATACCCTTAATTTTTTTTTCAAAATTATCCTTCTTCTGTCGTTGAATTATAAAAATTCTACGATCGTTAAATTACAAATTTATCCTTAAACTATTTTAGATTTATAAAAAAAAAAGTCCATAATTATAATTTTATATGAAGTTCAGGGGTTAAAATAAAATTTTACCCTTTCGTTAAACCTATTTATTTTTTCAATTTTGTAAAAAAAATATATAAATTTTATGAATTTAAATTTTTTAAAGAAAATATATAAATTAATTATAGTAATATTATAGTAAAATTCAACTTGTTAAAAACAAATATATAATAAGGATAATTTGGTAAAATATACATTTTAATAATTTTTTATTCCTTTAACCAAACACGGTAATCTCACATTCCTACTAAACCAACCAAACACAAAATACAACATTTTTAATAATCCTATTTCTACTTATAATATTACATTTTGTGAACCAAACGTTAGATTTAAGGATCATAATACATTAAACTGAAATGGGCTTAAAGATTGGCTTCGTCTATCCAATATCAATGGGCAGCCTTACAGCCATTCTTATTATTATTAACACTAGAATATTACTGACAGACTAACAGTAAGGGGGGAAAACTCAAAGCTTAGCATAAGTAGGTTTCCTTACGTGTTTCTGAGCAGAGATCGCCCGGGTTAGATCATCAGACAGCAGCATGGAAGAGTTCCAAGTTGCAACATACTCTAATCCTTGTTCCAAATTCAGATCCCTGCTTCTTATCAACACCGCTTTTGTTCCCACAACCGCAAGCGGCGGCTTCCGGCCAATTCCTGACATCCAATTTTTAAACAACCCATTTCATCATAAAATACTGAAGTAAGATAAGGAACTCACAAGCTTAACTTACCCTCTGCAATGGTGCGAACACCTTTGTTAAGTTCCTCCCTTGACCCGAAAACCAGAGAAACCAGACCCAATTGCTTGGCCTCCTCACCCGAAAACCTCCTTTCGACAACTCCATGGCGTTCCCAAACCCTACTATCCCAGGTAGTCTCTGGAGGGTACCCATATCAGCGGCGATAGCCACGCCCACTTCCTTGACAGAAAAAAACGAGTCCTTAGTACAGTATCTTACGTCACAGGCCGTCACGATACCGACCCCCGTTCCGCGACACTCGCCGTGTATCGCTGCGATCACCGGTTTCCGACACCGCTCGATGGCGGTGATGGCATCTTGCATGAACTTGATTTGTCTCCGTAATCGCTCCCCTATGCGGCCGTGATCTCCGGAGCTATCGTTGATGAAAGCCGCGAGACTCTTAAGGTCGAGGCCTCCACAAAAGTGATTACCGGCCCCGGATAGAACGACGACAGAAA